GAACTAGCTTTGGGCAGCAGGCTGGAGTTGCTTGAGGAGATAGTAGAAGGCAGAGAGATGGCTTGTGCAGGTGAACACGTTTCCTGGGCAACATGAATGTTCCCAGCAACTCAGGATTTCATGTACATTGAAGAGGGAAGGAAAACAGGCCAAATCAATGTGATTAAGCAGCTCCTATCTGAAAGCATACATTCTCATGAAATAAGTAATATTTACTCATGAATGACGATTCTCTTGAATACTTAATATACTATTCACAGATAATTTTCCTCCTGATTGTAATTGATTTCATGTTAAGTAGTCAGCCAAGGACAACACTGAATTCTGTTAGTGGGTGAACCAACCTTGGAAGCCTCAAGGGTACCTCTGAACTCTGAAATCTCATCATCTGAAGTAAATTCCCTCTTCTCCTCCACCCAGCTCAAAGTTAAATATATTTTTGCCCTTCATGTTCAGTAAGTGTTTGGATTCTGTCCAATTTCTCTTTGAAGTAACTCACATTTCCCTTTCTCTCCTTTCTGCTGCCATTCTCGGCCTTATTGACCTCTTTAGCTAGAAAAGTCTTCCCTGATTCCTTGTTTCCAGTCACGTCGAATTTAAACCTCCCCAGCCTGGCTTTCAGAGCCTTTCACAGCAGTAGAATCCAGCTCCCTCCTACTTACCCAGCTGTTGCCTGACATTCCCTGACACAGGCTTTCTGCTCTAGGAAGGCCAGCCTCCCTCCTGTCCTTCCAGTCTCACCATGTGGTTCTGCCTTCACACTGAAGTTCCTGTGGAGCTCACCTTAGTCCGCAGCTAGCACTTCATTACCTGTAGGATCAGTTGATGTATACACCCCTCACTCCCCAGGGTCATACTTCTCTGTACGGTTGTGCCCATGACTGATGTGAAGGAGCCCCGTATATCTCGACTTCCTGTTGTACCTTAATTTTTGTATAAATGATGTGCGAATTAATGCAACTATTTTTTTAAAAAAAATGTTCCAGAATTCCTATACAAGACTGTTGTCCTCCAAAGGCATTACCTTTACATCTTCTCCATGGCTACTCATTAGTTCAAACATGTTTTAGGGGCCCCTGGCTGGCTCAGAAGAACAGGCGACTCTTGATCTTGGGGTTATGAGTTCGAGCCCCATGTTGGATGTAGAGATTACTAAAAAATAAATAAACTTGGGGCACCTGGATGGCTCAGTCAGTTGAGTGTCTGCCTTCAGCTCAGGTTGTGGTCCTGGGGTCCTGGAATCAAGCCCAGTGTGGGGCTCCCTAGGTCTGCGGGGAGCCTGCTTCTCCCTCTCCCTCTGCCTGCTGCTTCCCCTGCATGTGCCTTCTGTAAAATAAGTAAGTTTAAAAAATAAACTTAAAAAAAACTTTTAGAACCTTCTTTTTTCATTCAGAAGCCAGTGAAAATACCTGGCCCAGTCAGTAATTATCTTTAAACTTCTTAAAGAAATTGAGGTTTTGTCATTCTTTGGGGTTTTTTTAGAAAGGGAAAGAGTGAGTGTGTGTGAACAGTGGGTGGGGGAGGAGCAGAGGGAGAGAGAGAATCTTCAGCAGTCTCCACGCCTAGCACGAGCCAATGCAGGGCTCGGTCTCACAACTCTGAGATCATGACCTGAGCCGAAATCAAGAGTCAGACCCTCAACCAACTGAGCCACCCAGGCACCCCAAGAAATCGAGTTTTAAAAATCAGTCGCTGTTAAGCTATTTTAAGTATTTTGGAAGTTCTAAAGAAAAAACAAATCTGAACAGAGCGAAGACCAAAATGTCAGTGTTGGAAATGGGCATATCAAGAGTGGCTTCCTGGGGGAGCTGAGGCTTAGGCTTTTGAAAAGAGGGAGAATGGGCTGAGCAGATGGGTGAAGAAGAGACTGGGTGGGGAGAGGGTATTGTAGGCAGAATAAACCCCATGGCCAAACCATGAACTGTAACAAACCTTGGGTACTCTAAGTAGCTCATTAATGTAACAGCAGGAGTGACTGAGAAAGAGAGGGGGGATAGGGAGGGTTTGGTAGGTCTGTGTGTCGTGGGTAGTTAGGAGAGTCAAGTGAAAGGAAATATGGAGGACGGAGCACAAAAGGCCTCGTGGGCTTTGCTCTGGACTTTGCGTACTCTTTGGGTTCCTCGTGGGAAGGGGTGTGTTGTGATGATCTTTGCCAACACAGTGCGTACCTTTATTATCTTACCTGTCATGTTGTTATTATTTATTTGCAATACTTCCCTGCTCTTTATTCATTTTTTTAATTCCCAGAGTCAGGCCTGGTGTCTGGCACATAGTAGATATTGAATAAATGTTTGAAGAATGCGTTATAAAAGTTTGTCATAAAAGCTTTTCACAAAGAAGGCATAAAAATGCCTTCCTTGGTCTTTTGTAAGAGATGGCATCACCCTATTTGTCGTTGAGAATAATTACAGTAGTTCCTTACGGAGGCATACCAAGCAGGTGACTACATTACCTGAGTGCTAACTTCTTAACTCAAGGCTTTCCAAAAGCAAACTGGAATACTGCACTGGTGTTAAAGTGTATACTGGCGCCATCTCGCGGTGATTTTAAGCCTTAACCAAATCGAAAGCTTCGTCTGTGATAACCAGACTTTCAAACAAGTTTCTAACATTTTATAAATTACCGAAGTATTGTATTTAATACTATATTTTGTTGACCCTTTGCCACTATCTTCACATTAACAGTTTTGGATTTGATGGTTCATACATGTATTTTAATTGTGTTTTACAAACATGTCTAGAAGTTTTGATAGGCAAAATATTCTATTTGAAATAAAATGGAATTTCGTCATTAGGCAGACCTGGAGTCTTAGACCAGCATTCTGATCTCAGATGCTATTTGCTGTGTCTCAGTTCACAGAGTTCCAGACTTGTGAGGTAATCTTTTTTTTTCTAACATCCTTCTTTATTTTTTTTTCCTGGTTGGACATTGTTTCTAAAACGAAGGAATCATGTCCTTTTAGTTCTTATCCTTGAAGATAGCTGTTGAGCGTGTCCTGCAAATTTGCAGGTTAAGCCAGAAAGGCTTGGGTAGTGAACCTTAGCTTTTTATTATTTCTGTGGGTGTTTGAACATGAGTTATGTGGACATTTTGCTTGTGACTTGCTGTTCGTTGATTAACAGCTGAGTCGGGGAATCAGATCATGATCATCAAATTAATTCCTCATGTGTAGGGATTGCTGTGATTTAAGTAGCAATGTTAATATAAAATAAAAGTGTTTATTTTTTTAATTGTGTTATTTTTTAAATTTTTATTATGTTAATCACCATACGTTAAAAGCGTTTATTAAAAATATTTTTCATGCAGAGCATAACTGGAAGCTTAAGATTAATTGCCCTTTTTTTTTTTAAGTACTTACTCAATGCCAGAGGGAGAGAGGGGTATAATTATCTCCATTTTACAGATGAATCTGAAACACATGGAGGTGAGGTAGCTTTCACAAGGTCTCACAGCTCTTATATTTGCAGTGTGAGCATTCAGACCCAGATGTAGAGGACCCCAGAGTCCAGGGTTTTAACCACCATGTAAACTCTGTGTCCAACAATGAGGGGGGATTCATAGGAAAACCATAGTAGAAAAATGCACAAGACAACCTTAAAGTGGTTATTAATAGCTTTTATTTAAATATACACTAATTAATTAAAATCTTGGCTTTAATTTATTGTTGACATTATCAGCATCTGCTTGTTTCCACTCCTAATTCATAGCCAACAGCCTTCATTCCATTGTGAAGGAAGTTGAAGGTTCTTGCCCTGCTGCACTGGTCCTAAGCAAGCTTCGAGGCACTGTCGCTGTCTGTGGATGAGCATTTTGCCCGTCTCGGCACTCCCTTCATTCTTGGATACAAACTGTGTCTACCTGTGCCTTTCAGCAGGGGGCGTGTGTTGGCAACAGCTTGTGTAGAAACCTCCATTTGGGTGTTGGCCTGGTTGATGGATGTCTATATGTGTCGGTTAATGTATGTAGGGTGAATAGATACGGGTTTTCTAAGTTTTAGATTTAAATTTTTTCTTTGTAAATATAGACACATAATTTTATGCAGTTGCAGTCATATCATATATGCCAGGTTGTGGTGTGTTTTTTTTTTTACTCTTTTTTTTTTCTTTGTTCCTGTGGCTTCCTTCCATCCACCCACATGGCCTTCCTCCTCATCACCCTGTTGTATGTATAAAAGGGCACATAAAACATAACAAATGGTCTTCCATATTTTTCCATGCTTGTGTAATCATTTATCAAATATATCTATGTGCAGTTAGACATCCAAATCATCTATGGGGTAGCGTGCTACCGTTTTATGGTAAAAAGGTGCGATCATATTATAAATACTTTTAAAAATACACATACCTTTCAACCAGCTTTCCCACAGAAATAAAAGCATTGATTTGTAAGATTATGTGTCAGGAGTATTTTCTACAGTATTATTCATAATAGGAAGGAAGGGGGATGATTGAATAAAGAATGATAATCTATACCGTGAAATTTTAGGCAGTCGTTTAAAATAATGAATTTGATGTGTGCCAAAAGCATCTCCTCTACCATTCTCTCTGTTATGAATTTCAGCGTTCCTACTCCTTTACTGACATTTTAGTGTGGTTTCAAGAGGGAGAACAAAAGAAATGTATTGGGACAGTTGTCTTTATAATTGCAAATCTGGCTAAGTAGATTACAAGACCTGCTTTAACTTCTGTTTCTTTTCTTCCTAGAGCTCTTAGTGTAGAGCCCCTTCTGGTCCTTTTGTATTTGGAAATAGGGAATATCCAGCCTCCCCCAAATTACATTCTTTCTTCTTTCTTGGCTTTTAACTCCTACTGGTCTTTTCTACCAGCAGCATCTGAAGGGGCACAACCTTAAGCATTGTCTCAAATTAAATTCAGAATCAATGAAATGTCAGTTCAGAAACTGTTCCTGGGACACTTGGATCTTCTTAGAAATGAGACTTAGGAAAGACAGCATTTCTATATAACCACAGCTACTCTTCTGTTTCTTTTGCTTCTGTACAGGTTTGAAAAAGGGCGCATCTACACATTCATTGGAGAAGTCGTTGTTTCTGTGAATCCTTACAAGTCTTTGAACATCTATGGGAGAGACACAATCGAGCAGTATAAAGGACGTGAGCTGTACGAGAGACCTCCTCATCTTTTTGCAATTGCTGATGCCGCTTACAAAGCTATGAAGAGGCGCTCAAAAGACACTTGTATTGTGATATCAGGTATTCAGAGGGGATCCCCTGTACTTTCAAGGTCAAAATGCATTTAACTTATTAGGTACTCAAGGGTCTAAACTGTTGAATAGATCTTTTTTTTTGGAAGTTAGAAACGTAAGCAGGTTGTTTTTTTAAAAAAATTTTTTATTGTTATGTTAATCACCATACATTACATCATTAGTTTTTGATGTAGTGTTCCATGATTCATTGTTTGTGCATAACACACAGTGCTCCACGCAGAACGTGCCCCCCTCAACACCTATCACCAGGCTAACCCATCCCCCCACCCCCCCCCCGTAAGCAGTTTTATAGGAGAAAAAAATTTGCAGTGAACACCAGATCATTTCTGACAAATGTCTAGTCTTGGTTCATTTATAAAATCCATGTTACATGTGGATGGACTTCTGATCATGAAAGATTCTTCCTCCTGTCTCAAGGACATAAAAGTACTGGATAAAATGTAACAAAGGTTATTTTTTTTAGAAGATTTTTATTTCTTTATCTGTCAGAGAGGGAGAGGGAGAGAGGCAGGCAGAGGGAGAAGCAGACTCCCCGCCGAGCAGAGAGCCCAACTCAGGGCTCCATCCCAGGACCCTGAGATCATGACCTGAGCCGAAAGCAGACGCTCAACCGACTGAGCCACCCAGGTGCCCCACAAAGGTTATTTTAAATAACAGCAGAATGAAAGGAAGGAAATGAAGTCCTGAGGTACAACTCAAAGTCAGATTGGCGAGTGGGAGTTAGTGTCACGGGCCATCCAGGCACAGGGACCAGAAATGGGCTGTCCCAGCTGGAGGCTGGAGCTTCGAAGCCTACGGAGCAGAGACAGGTGATAGACCCTGTGTGCCCAAGAGCTGGAGCTGAGCTCTTCGCGGAATCTCGTGTAATGTGAATTGGGGATAGGGAAAGTATCTGCCCGCTGACCCAGGATGGCCTCTTCTACACTGTGGGAATGTATTTTGGTGCTAATAATACCTCACATCTCCATTAGGGGCTTTATACTTGTAAAACTGCTTTTATGACCCTTATTCCATTTTGGTTATCAAAACAATTCTGAGTGCTGAGACAGTTGTGTTTCTACTTTATAGATGAGAAAATTATTAAGGGTCAGAGGAGTTAGAGTAACTTAGTGTTGGAGAACCATATCCTAGGACTACATTATATTCAATTATGTAAAGCTATACTACCTGATTATAAAAGGAGAGAGGGAGTAATCAATCATTTAAGCATATAAAGTAAAAGCAAAAAGTCTCTCCCCTTTGAATACCTTGTTACCCCCAAAACTCTAGCAGTAACAGCTGTGAATTTAGTGTTTATCCTTTTTATACATTTTTCTGTGTATAACACATATAGTCATACATGCATATTAAATTATAAATGTGTAACTGTGATACAGAATTATGTTCTAACTGCTATTATGTAACTTGTTTTTCTGTTTAACACTATGGAGTGGACATCTTTTCTTTCTTTCTTTCTTTTTTTAAGATTTTATTTATTTGTTTGAGAGAGAGAGCACAAGCCAGGGGAGAGGCAGAGGGAGAGGGAGAAGCAGGCTTCCTGCTGAGCAGGGAGCCCGATGCGGGGCTCAGTCCCAGGACCCTGAGATCATGACCTGAGTCGAAAGCAGCCACTTAACCAACTGAGCCACCCAGGCGCCTTTGGAGTGGACATCTTTTCATTAGCATGTATATAGAAGTGGGGGACTAACACCTGTGCAGTATTCCATTGAATATCTTGCCCAGTCCTCTACTGACAGGCATGTTATTTGCAGGGTTCAGCTGTGAAACACACACAGTATAGTCTGCAGAAATACTCCTTAAGTCTTTAAAGATTATAATTCTTATTTGATCCCATTAGTATTTTTACTATTTCTGTAGTATAAATTTCTACAAGTGGAATTTGGGGGTCAAAAGGCATACACATTTAAAAATTGGGGTAGCTCATTCTAAACTGATCCCTTCTGCTCACCTTATACCAGTTGTCTCGCTTTTCCTGTGACACCATGTCTGGAGCTTGCTGTTTGGTTTGGTTTTATTTTCACTGAAATTGCTCTGACTTTAATTTTTGGAAGGAATATTTCATCCTTGTTAAGATGAAAAGAAACTTTGCTGTAGAGCATAAGGTTATATGAACTGGGGCGCCTGGGTGGCTCAGTCGTTAAGCGTCTGCTTTCGGCTCAGGTCATAGTCCCAGGGTCCTGGGATCAAACCCTGCGTCGGGCTCCCTGCTCCGCGGGAGGCCTGCTTCTCCCTCTCCCACTCCCCCTGCTTGTGTTCCCTTTCTCGCTGTGTCTCTCTCTGTGTCAAATAAATAAAATCTTCAAAAAAAAAAAAGTTATATGAACTTAGCCATGGCCAGTGTTTGAGTCACTAGCTTGTTTCGTTTCTGCTGTGCTTAAAAGTCACTGCCAAGCACCAAGACTGGTCTCAGGAATTCATTTACCCCATTTTATCCCTTGATATTTTCTACTTAGTACATCTTAACTTGTAATCTGTTTGTTATTTTACTTCTATAATAGTCTTATTTTTTTCTCAGCATTTTCAGAGCTGTTAGAACCTAGACTGTATCAAGACGGGAGGAAATAACTCAAAAAAAAAAAAGCAGGGCGCCTGGGTGGCTCAGTTGGTTAAGCGACTGCCTTCGGCTCAGGTCATGATCCCGGAGTCCCGGGATCGAGTCCCACATCAGGCTCCCTGCTCAGCAGGGAGTCTGCTTCTCCCTCTGACCCTCTTCCCTCTCGTGCTCTCTATCTCTCATTCTCTCTCTCTCAAATAAATAAATAAATCTTTAAAAAAAAAAAAAAGCAAACAATGTAACATAAAGAGTTTTAAGTAAATAACATCAAAATTTGCAACTGTTCTGTTACAAGTCAGCTTACTGTTGGTTCCAGTGACAGTGTTAAGCCTTGCACAACTTTTCCTGCAGGGGAGAGTGGTGCGGGTAAGACGGAAGCCAGTAAGTACATTATGCAGTACATCGCGGCCATCACCAACCCCAGCCAGAGAGCCGAGGTGGAGAGGTAAGGGCGGTGTGAAGATGGGGAGACGCTCTCTTCGGGGCTTCGCTTTCTACACACACTTGCTGGGGCCGAAGCTCCCATACGGAGCCAGCATTTGTTGATGATTTACTACTGTCTCTGCCCTTTGATCTGTGTCACCCTATATCTATATTCCCTTCTTCGTAGAGAAATACTGCTTTGGTAAACTTTACCTAGATAGGAAACAAGGTAATGCTGCAAGAGATGAAAGTTTTCCCACTCCACCTGTAACTGCTGCCTTCAGTGTCACACGTGCTCAGCTAAGGTGTTCCCACGGGTAGATGTCATTGTTCAAGTTGTCTTTTTTATGCTGTCTTCTGAGGAGCCCTGGGTTCCCAGAGGGAAAGGGGGCTCCAGGACTCAGAACCATGCCTTCCCTGAATTGCATTGTCACGGCCCGAACCCCTGATATTAGAAGCACTAAGAATGATTCCCTTTTCTTTTTAAGTTTCATGCCAGGCTGCTGTCAGCGTACAACAAGGATGCAGGCTACTGGGCGCTGTGTGCAGGACCCGGCTTTTAGCACCGAGTGCCACGTAGTATTTTCTTAATCCATTTGTAAGGAACGAATGGATGGGTTGTTTTTTTGTTTTGTTTTGTTTTGTGAAAGAAATGTGGCAATAAAGTAACATGACTTAACTTTCTTCTATGGTGTGCACTTTTTGAGAGAAAAAAAGGTTTTCAGAGTTGCTAGCGTGAAGCTCAGTATTTGTTTTCCAAAGAGTCCCCTCCGCATGCACATCTCAGCCTTCAGTTTACAACTAGAAAAGAAAGGATGCGGGGTTGGTACGAAAGAAGGCGGTGTAGACTAGACTTACCCTTCCAGGGCTTTCCTCATTTCTACATAACTGGGCTGGAGGTCAAAGAGGCCTTTTTCTTGACTGTGACACATCCCCACTTCTGATTCTGAATTTGCAATCTCCTATGATGAAGACACGAATATGAGTCAGTTATGTGAATCTCCGTAGAAGCTCGGGAGAACTAACTTTATTTTATTTCTACAGCCAGTTGGTATGGTAGAGTCAGGCATGTGTACATTGACTGGTGTTTCACGGGCATATCTTACTGTAGTTTTAAAGATGGTCGCCCTTGTTTACCATACGTGCAGTCCCCCCTCCCCACATTTTAAAAGTATACTTTCATGTGGGAGGAGAGAAGCTGGCAGGGTTATGGGGTGACTTAGAGTCATAGAGGATCTGCTACATTAGCTTATTTCAGTGGCCAGTGTGATTCCTACAGGTGTGGCCATGCTAGAGGAGTCTTGCCAGGGAAATGAAAACAAAGGACCAGCATAAAGTTAAAAAGTATCCATTGGGAGACACTGTGCTATAGAAAGTTAGCATTCATTGAATAAGGAATAATTGTGTCACCCATTCTTTCTTTTCACAACACATCTTTTTAAGATTTTTCTTTGTCAATAAAACATGTTCACTTAAAAACTAAAAATTACAGCATTTTGTCCAAGGTGGAAGTCCCCCAAAATCCCAATCTACATTACCCTGTCAAGCTAGGTCCCTATAGTGAAATGTACTAGCCTTTCCAGATTTTTAAGCATTTACTGACCTATGTGCCTGCCCACACACTCACATGGACACATGCACAGACACACAAAGACCCTGCAACACATGTTATTTTGCAACCTAATTCCTCATTCATTAGTTTATTCTGGACCTCTTTCTCTGTCAGTGCATCCTATACTAGGAGAAAAGTTTTTTTATCCAACCCTACTAGTGGACATTTAGGGTTTGCTTTAATATTGCAAACAATGCTGCAGTCAGCATCTTTGTATAAATGTTTGGATGTGCTTTAACAAAATCTGGTTTTTCTAAAAGGCCCAGCCTCTAAACTTTTTATAATGACTTTCATTTATCTGTGTCAAAGAGTGAAGAATATGTTGCTTAAGTCCAACTGTGTCTTGGAAGCTTTCGGAAATGCCAAAACCAACCGTAACGACAACTCAAGTAGGTTTGGAAAATACATGGATATCAACTTTGATTTCAAGGGGGATCCTATTGGTGGACATATCAATAACTACTTATTGGAGAAGGTAAAATGTGCTTAATTTCTGAGGGTAATGTTTTCCACTGCTGAATTTTTTTTTAAACCTAATCACGTATATAGAATTTTTTAAATTACTTAAAAGTAGCTTTAAATCCTATCCTCCCTCCCTTCCTGTTCCTCAGTTCCTTTTCTGTGACAAGATACTCTTCTTAGCTCCTACAATATCAGGGTGGAAAAAGTTTGGGCTTCGTAGATAAGGATTTAGGTGTGTGTGTGTGGCCAGGAGTGGGAGTAGTATGTGAATGCGTGCTAACTTCTGGGTAAGATTTGACCAAAACACAATCTAGGACTAATCAGTTCTACTCTTTTGCCACATCACCATTGCCCATATGTCTTCCTGCTGTTGTCCTAAACGCATCGCAGAAGAGCCAGCACACCCATTCCCTGAAATGACGCTCTTTTCACAGAATCATGCCCATACAACTCTCTTTTTTTAAGTGAGATATAATTGACATTTGACACCACGCACATTTAAGGTATACAACATACTGACTTGATATTTCCATGTATATTTATTTTAATGAATCTGAATCTCATTTTCTTCTAGTTTCTATTTGTTCATAGCGTCTTTTATGGCAGTGTAACACAGCATAATCTGTTTTTGTTTGTTAAATCGATGTCAGACTGTTAAGGAAATAAGGGTTTTTATCAGTGTCAGTTACAAAAGGACTGGAAATGCCTGGTGTCATCAGTCTTTTTCCAAAATGTTTCGTGGCTTCACTTTACGTGCAGAGTCCCTCAGAAGGACCCCTCTGAATGAACGTACACTGTGAGACCTCTCACAGCAGGCTTTTGGGAGCCATCTAAGGTAGGGGCCTCCATAGTCTGGTCTCGCTCAGCTGATTTTACTGCAGGACATAAGGCATTGCTCTTTGAAATGCCAGCAGACCCTGGGGACCCTGAACATCCTGTCCTGTTCTCCCACGTCCAATCCTCTTCCCCCTAAAAATCCCATCTTTAGGCTCCAGGTTAAAAAAAAAAAAGCTTCATTTTCATAAAGTTTAGGGAAGTCTGTTTTAAGCAGTAAAAAGAATATTAAAAGTTGCACAGAAAACCCCACAGAGGAGGTCTAGTTTTAGGTGGGTAATCCATGGGGTCTTTAGGACATTTAAATGCACTATTGAGGGTGCCTGGGTGGCGCAGTCATTAAGCGTCTGCCTTCGGCTCAGGTCATGATCCCAGGGTCCTGGGATCGAGTCCCACATCGGGCTCCCTGCTCAGCGGGAAGTCTGCTTCTCCCTCTCCCACTGACCCTGCTTGTGGTCCCTCTCTCACTGTGTCTCTCTCTGTCAAATAAATAAAATCTTAAAAAAAAAAAAAAACACTATTGATAGGCGATTTCCTGAGAACTTGGCTTGCACTTTGTTTTCGGGGTGCATTCTCAGATTAAGGATTTAATGTGGGTTTTTGTTTTTTTTTTTTTTTAGTCTCGAGTGATTGTGCAACAGCCAGGAGAAAGAAGCTTTCATTCTTTTTATCAGGTTAGTATCTGCTGCTGTGCAGGTAATCCATCATTGGCCCAGTTTTACAGGGAATGAATATTTTATGTTGGGACTCTCCCCTGTCCTGTGCCTCCTTTGCCTCCACTGGCCCAGGACACATTACACACGTGTACATGCGTGCACACACCGTAGCCCACGTGCTGCTTCAGATATTTGATGAGCATGACTATTATAAAGAGCTAGCAGGTGGTTAACTCACCAGATGACTTGACTGCCTTGGTTGAGCATCACCTCCATTTTTTGGCAATGTAGAGAACAGTTTAATATCTAAAAATTTTTGAAATGGTAAATTCCGGATATGTTAAATTAATTGTGTTTTATTTTGAATTGAAGCTGTTGTTCCCATATTTGGGAGCCCAGAGACAGGAATACAACTTGAGTTTATTTTGCTCATGGAGGCTGTAAAGCAATATGATTACTTAAAACAATTATGAATTCAAGGGAGAATTGTCGTCTTTATCCCATCAAAGCTGTGATTGCTTAGAAAAAAATTTGATACCTCTTTTAAGAATGCTTTTAAAAGTCAAAGGCAGAATCTTTTAAAGTAGCCTTTCTGTTAACAAGTCTGTGCTCAGAGAACAAGTACAGTACATAATTAAAATTTTTAAAGCCCCAAGTAACATGAACCAGTGCTAAGAAATTAAGTGGGTGATCAAATGAAGCAATGCTGTTTGGGATTTTTTAAAAGTAAAACTATAAATCAGTAAGGTTGATTTCCATGTGGAAACCGTCTCTGCAGGTGATGGAGCAGTGACAGCGTAAGTTGAATACAATTCAGCCGAGTTTAATTTTTTCTAGGTAACTGCTTTAATAGACAGTGCTCATTTGTATATACAAGTTCTGGTATACTAAGTTTTAAAAGATCACTTTCGAAAATCTGACAATTATACCTTTTAAGTAAAACAAAGCATACAGTTTAATGTAGAAAATTTAAACGTAGTGCCTTCCAAAGGCATGTTCTATAAATAAGGGCTACCCATCCATATTGTATTCGTGTTTTTGTTGACAATTCACCATGTTTTCCTTAAACTATTTTTCTACCGAATATAAAAGAGTTCTTTTCATGTCTAGAACCCATAAGCTCTTCCCAGTGTTTTTCCTACTTGGATGAATGTGTTAAAATTTGTCTTTGTTCAACCCTTCAGTCATGGGTATCCAGTGGTGCTCCTTTCCTGACATAGAGATTGACGAGGAAAGGCTATTTGTTTCCAGCATGATTCAGCATGTGACTGCCCGCTGATACCTCTTACTCCCACAGCAATATTGACTTTTTCTGAATTCTGAAACACGGCTCTATCTTGTTTGGATAATGAGGCCGCTAAGCAAGTGACCACCACAACGCATAAGCTCCTGTTTAACAAATGACCATAGCAAATGCAAGATTACCATTGTTATAATATTGGATGTACTTGGCTCAGCGTGTATTTTGCCAATTTATTTCTAATTAAATATCTTTTCAGCTACTTCAGGGAGGTTCAGAGCAGATGCTACGCTCTCTACATCTCCAGAAATCCCTGTCGTCCTACAACTATATCCATGTAGGCGCTCAATTGAAGGTAAGGGCTTCCTCTCTGAAATATAGAATCAGACAGAAAACCAGAGGGGATATTAAGTAATTCTCTGGTCCAGCCTGCTGCCTTTAAGCAAATGAGTGACTCTTTTCTTCCATTCTGGTTTTTAAATTCTCAGGGACAGAGACTCGCTGCAACTTCACTTCAACAACTTCACTTAATAACCATTTCTGTGTTTCATTGCCATCTGATGGGAATGAAGTTTCTCTCTTGTGATCTTGTGGGTTTTTTTCAATTTTTAATCCTATTCCTTTTGACACTGTAAAAATATTGATATGACTAGGAAATCCACCTCAGAGGAAGATGCCATATGGTTTGGCCACAGGCAAGTTGGGAAGACAGAAGGAACTTTAAAAGCACCCTTTTATACCCTGGTTGGTGGGTATTAAAGAGGGCACGTTCTGCGTGGAGCACTGGGTGTTACGCACAAACAATGAATCATGGAACACTGCATCAAAAACTAATGATGTGGGCGCCTGGGTGGCTCATTTGTTAAGCGTCTGCCTTCAGCTCAGGTCATGATCCCAGGGTCCTGGGATTGAGACCCACATCAGGCTCCCTGCTCAGCAGGGAAGCCTGCTTCTCCCTCTCCCATTCTGCCTGCTTGTGTTCCCTCACTCGCTGTCTCTCTCTGTCAAATAAATAAATCTTTAAAAAAAAAAAAAATTAATGATGTAATGTATGGTGATTAACATAACAATAAAAAATTTTTAAAAAAACACCCTTTATGCACAAACAATGAATCATGGAACACTACATCAAAAACTAATGATGTAATGTATGGTGATTAACATAACAATAAAAAAATTATTTAAGAAAAAATGAAAAAAAAAAAAAAGCACCCTGGTTGAAAATGAGTATCAAAGATCTCCTCCATTCACTGTTTTTTCAAGTACTGATTTTGATATAGCCTGGAAATAGTTTTGTGACCCTGGAGCATTTCTATTCAGCCTTCAAATTTTTAGTTTTTTTTTCCCTTCACTTGCATGTGGGCCTTTTGCGCTCCCATATGCAGATGCTTTTCTGCTCTTTTATTTCTAATTACTGTTCTGCTAGTCACTTTACAGCTCATTCTAATAATATAGTAGTCTGTTGATGGTAGACTATAAACTGGTAATTACAATATTATCCTACTTTGTCAGAGAAAGGTACATAAATCCATAAAATAAGATATGGAGGGAAGGTTTTAATTACTGATTCTGGATGGATGAGAGTCCAGGTATCTGTGTTCTTGTACTTTTCCATGTTTTAAATTTGTTTTGTAATAAAAAAATGCATTGCTTTTGTAGTCAGGGGAGAAATAAAAGAATTTTTAAAAGGAAAGAAAGGAAAAGGATCTAAGATGTGGGAGGTGTTTCCTTTTTTATTTCTATTATTTATCTAAAGCGAATTATACCTGCATTACCTGATTAGCTGTATTTTTATTGCCATGCATAGAAATAAATGATATTTAGGCTTTCCCAATTAACTTTCCATTGTTTGACATTCAAGTTGCACGGGTTTTTTTGTTTTGTTTTGTTTTACTTTTACAGTCATCTCAGAGTAGGATGTCTGGGTGAAAATTTATTGAAAACAAGACAATAGAGGGCAACACTTGAGCTTTCTGAGAGTAGGCCAACAGCACTCAGAAATGCAGAAGGGATTGTGAAACCAGCACTTAAAAAGCCAATGACCAGAAATGTTCCTCTTTAATCAAATTGTCTTACTGACCAAAATACTTTTGGCCCGATCACGTAGCGCCCCAATGGAAAGCAAGTCCATCAGGCACAGAGGACTCCTTCCCGTGTGCCTCCTCAAAAGATGAGCATCAGGCCAGGTCCTCTGTGTCCCTGCCAGAGGAGAAATGCACCGAGGAAAAGATCAGTCAGGCCCTCTGCAGCTGCTGCTCTGGGAAAACTTTCTTGAGATAGGCCGTTACCATTGCTTCACTGTAAATTTCTGTTGACGTGTTGGTATTTCCAACCTGATAGCTATAGCTCCTTGAGGCTGGCGATTTATCTTTGATTGTTCCAGTTGGGCTACTACAACAAAAATACCATAAATTGGGTGGCTTATATACAACAAATGTTCATTTTTCACTGTTCTAGAGGCTGGGGAGTCAAAGATTAAGGCACCTGCAGATTTGGTGAGGGCCTTCTTCCTGGTTTATAGATGGAGCCTTCTCTATGTCCTCACAGGGCAGAAGGGATGAGGAATCTTTAGGGCCTCTTACAGTGGCACTAATCCCATTTATTGAGGGCTCCACCCTCATGACCTAATTACCTCCCAAAGGCCCTACCTCCTAATTCCATCACCTTTTGGGGAGGGGGATATCAGGATTTCAACATACGAATTTTGGGGGGATACAAACATTCAATCTCGAACCAGTTAGAAGATCTGATGCACCAAATGTTCGTGAAAAGTGGTTGTGGTCCCAGAATATCTAATAGCTTGCTGAATGATTGAGGCAGCCCACTCTGCTTTGGGGGAGGGGGGCCTTCTTTTCCTCACCTGTGAAGTAAAAAGCCTGACCATTCAAGAGAAGGGAGTATTTTCCCCAGACTTTACAAGACTAATTGTGGAACAAAAAGCCATAGGCAACAATAGTCAGGTGTGTCTTCGAGAGGCTCCCATGGTCAGTATTTGCATTTGTGATTCACATCCCATGTTTTCTTCACTCATCACAGAGTGGCAGTCAGCTTCTGTGAAGCAGCTCAGGACTTGCTCCCTCACTGAAGATTCCAGAAAAGTATGTTACGCCTATTTTGTGTGACGGTGGCTCTCACACACAAATGGATATTTTGTGTGCTGAGTGATATTTCCACTCCTGAAATAATTTTATTTTCTCAGGGTGCTCAGTGACTTACTACATCAAGACCTTGGCTAAACTCGAATGTAGTCTCATAATTGTTAGATTTTAATGCCTGTATGAAATGTCAGTGACTTAAGTTTTCCATTTTCATTCCCAGTCTTCTATCAACGACGCTGCAGAATTCAAAATAGTAGCTGATGCCATGAAAGTAATTGGCTTCAAACCTGAGGAGACTCAAACTGTGTATAAGATTCTGGCAGCCATTCTTCACTTGGTGAGTAGGGACACCTTTCAGAATATGTTGCCTCCCTGTGGAGACAGGATGCTCTTTCAGAAGATTTTGCTTTTTCCCTGCAGATTTAAAAACTAATTTATATAAAGAAAATTTCTCTACGTTTTGAAGCAGTTACTGTATCTGTGGTTCTCTCCATCATTTTATAATATTATGAGGGATTTTTGAAGCCACTGTAGGTTTTGAAACTTAGCTTTAATTCATTGTCTTACTGGTATGTCAGATTTTGAACTGTTTCATTTGAGGATAAAAGAATTCAGTAATGATATGACTACCAGTGGTATAAGCTAAAATCTTTTGAACAGAATACGTTTCCAGTAGCACTTGAAGCGTAGAATCATAAATTATCAGAACTGGAATCCTGATCATCTCATTTTTCAGGTTGGGAAATGAGCCCTAAAGGGGTGGCACAACTGGCCCAAAGGCGCAGCCAATACATGGTGGCTAACTGGGTAGACAAGATGGCCAACTCATGCCAGTCAAGCTGCACTACACTACAGCAAACTCAGGTCAAGGGCCATGTGTCAGATTTCTCTCATTCCTGTGTATATAATTATAGACGTTGAAAATATAGTGAACATGTAACCTTAGAAGAAATGAGTGACACCATGAATTCAAATCTGGAATAATACTTACCTTTCACTTTAATGTGGCAAGATTTAATTCTTAATGAAGTGGGCAGGACCTATATGAAAAATATCATAGGGCAATATAAATTTTATTGTAAGTAAATGTTCCTAACTAGGAAGACTTGAACATTATAAATTGTCCCATTCTTTCAACCAGTTTATAAATAAAGTGCAACAATATCCTTCAGAATCCAAACAGGAATTTTATTTTTTAAGTTGACATAATGGCCCTAGAATTTCCCTGGACCAATAAACATGTAAGAAGATCAAATAAAATGTACTAAAGAAGAGTAGTAGTGTAGGGGGAAAAGAGAGGATACAACTAATTCTGCCAGATTTAAAACGATAGTAAAAGTGACAGTACTTTAAAACTTGTTGCTCAGATATATCATCAGATTAATCAACATTGGTTGATGTGCTGGACAGTTGGTAGAGGGTTGATAAGTATTTATTGCTTATTGAACAAGTAAAATATAAATAGACTCAGAAGCTTGGGGGAATTTAATATATAATAAAGGTGACATTTCAGATTTTTTTAAGATTTTATTTATTTATTTGAAAGAGAAAGAGAGCATGATTGGGGCGAGGGGCAGAGGGAGAGGGAGAAGCAGACTCCCCGCTGAGCAGGGAGCCCGACACAGGGCTCGATCCCAGGACCCTGGGATCCTGACCTGAGCCGAAGGCAGATGCTCAAGCAACTGAGCCACCCAGATGCCCCTAAAGGTGACATTTCAAATCAGGAGGAAAAGCTCAGCCATTCAGTAAATGGTGTTGGAGCAACTAACTAACCATCTGAAAAAATAAAGTTAGATTCTTTGCACCACTTAGCAACATAAATTCTAAGCGAGTTAAAAGCTTAAATGTAAGGGGAAAAACTGTGTATTCAAAGAAAATATTGAATATTTATAAAATCTTTGGAGTGGGAAAGGTCTAAGTATGACACCAAAGTGAAAGAAACCCCAAAGCAAAAGATCCGTAGATTCGACTACATAAAAATGTAAAACCTCTCTCCATCAAAAACAAATGCTGAAAATTAAGAGATAGATCGGTGTCTAGAGAAGAGAGGAAAGATGGATGAAGCGCTAGGTTTTTATATGTGTGTAATGTATTTAAGAAAATCAGTGCTACGAACAAGGTCACTTTGAATTTTATCTTTAATTGGCAAATATATCCCTGACATAATGTTTCAGAATCTTGCTGGAAATGGCGTCTTGTTTTTTTCTCTCTGGTGTAGGGAAATTTAAAATTTGTGGTGGATGGTGACACACCTCTCATTGAAAATGGCAAGGTTGTATCTATCATAGCAGAATTGCTCTCCACCAAGACGGACGTGGTCGAGAAGGCCCTTCTCTACCGGACGGTGGCCACAGGGCGCGACATCATTGACAAGCAGCACACGGAGCAGGAAGCTAGCTATGGCAGGGATGCCTTTGCTAAGGTGGGATTTTTAACTGACGTTGCTCGGCCTGGGGATGCAGTTTTAGTGAACTTCCATGAGGATGCGTCCAGACGTTCCATGAAAGTGGGCTCAGGCTTTTAGAACCTAGAATGGTGCTTTTGGACCATCACAGTCTCAATAAAACGCCCTGACTGTGAGCATCGCTCTCAGGAAGCGTTCTGAGGAGAGTGAATCCGACTAACTGGGAAGCTAATGACGCCTGCATGGGCCCTGTCACCGCCCTCCATTTTGCTTTGCCCACCAGTGTTTGATGAAGACCGACTCAGGTCAGCTGAGGGAGTTCTCATCCCTTGTGTTTTGTGTCTGTGTGGGGATGATGCCGTGAGTTAGTAACCATCCTCCCCTTAAGTCGTTCACTTTGTTTCCTTTTTCTGCCATGAGAAATAATGCTGCCATATCCTGTGCGTGTGTCCCTACACACCAGCGCTCTTATTCCCACTGGACAGACTCCCAGGAATGAGCTCATCACATCAAAGGATACACTGATTTTAAACTTTAAATGGACTCACTTTATGGGTGTACAGGAGTACCTCATGGTTACTTTCATTTTCCTTGCCAGTGGATTTGAGCATCTTTCCATATGACTGTAAGGTATTTAAATCCACTCTGGGAATCGCCGGGTGTGTCCCTTGTACATTTTCCTCAGGGCCGCTCGCTGTTTTGTTGCCTGTTTGTAAGAGCTCATCACTTTAACTCTTGGTCTGTTGTCTGCGTGGCAAATGTGTTATGTTTCCAAGTTTACATTTCCTTGTTTTCTTTTTCTTTGTTGCTGGTTGATTAGATGGCCGTGTATTCCATTTTGACTCTTCTAAGTCCCAGGCTTGGTTTTTAGTCTCGAGAGGAATTTGGATTTATCCAAGTGCAGTGAGGAGTGGAGGATTCTAAGCAGAGGCAATGACAGCGAGTCTGCATTTTTAAAGCAATCGCTCAGTATGGTGAATCTTCTGTGGGTGGGGATGGAAGCAGGGAGACTGTTAAGGGGATATTTCAGTATCCAACGAAGATGATGGCAAGTAGCGTAGAAATGGGGAAAAGATGATTTGAGACGGGCTGTGTTTGAGATGTAAAACCCACAGCCCCTGTTTGGGGAACGATAAAATCAAGGATCGCTCCTAGCGTGGTCTGGCTCTAGCCTGCATCTCCTGCCTCATTCCACACCATACTCCAGTCTCCTTCCTTCATTCCAGCACCTTAGTGTTCTCTCGGGTCTTGCAGGTTGTCTCTTTCCCTTTCTCCTTCCAGCCACAGGGCCTCTGCACAGGCTGTTGCCTCTGCTTGGATCCCTTTTCTCTCCCCCTCTTGCCTCGTCAGCTCTTATTCATCCTTCTGATCTCAGCCCACTTTCTCAGGGATGTCTTCCCTGGCCTCTTGTGAGTCCCGAACAGGTTAAATTATCCTCCAATGCCACGCACCTCACCTTCAGAGAGAGAGAGAGAGAGAGAGAGAGAGAGAGAGAGTGTGTGTGTGTGTGTGTGTGTGTGTGTGTGTGTGTGTGTGTGGTTTTTCCTTCATCCTACTCCCTGTGCTTTTGGAGACTGAGACCATGTTTATGTTTGCTTTAGTACTGTATCTCCAATAACCTGCCCAGAGTAAGCAGTCAGCTAATATTTGTTGAATGAGTAAATTCCTACATTTCTGGAGCCCTTTGTTCATGCTTAGAAGTAAGGTAGGAACAGTTTTTCGAGCTGGGGAGATCAAGAGTCCTGACAGCACATGTGTTTGAGATGGCTGTGAGGCCCCTAGGAATATTGTCGGGTTGGCTGTCAGGCACATGAGTCTGGCGCTCAGAGGAGAGGTCTGCGTTGGAGTAATAGATTTGGGAGTAGTAGTATATTACTACTGTTTAACATCGAATGAGATGACTCAGAAGGTGTTAGTGAAGAGAAGAGGATCAGAGGAACTCCACCTTTTAGAGGTCAGGTGGAGGAGATCTTACCAAAGGTCACCCAGAAGGAGCAGCCAGTGAAATTAGAGGAAAATTAAGGAGGTGTGGTGTCACAAATCCCAGAGGGGAGAAGGTTCAAGAAGAAGAAGGTGGGAAACCATATGGAGTGACACTGAGTGAGTAAGACGTCCATATAGAGGCACAAGAAAGTGTCTACACTGAGGTGTTTGGGGTCTTTGATGAGCCATTTCAGTGGAGCAGGGGGAGGTAAGCAAAGACTGGACTGGATCGAAGAGTAAAAGGGAGGCAAAGAAAGGAGGCAGTGCGTGTGTGTAAGTGCAGATGGAGAGAGGGGTGGATGGAGGGAGCTGCTAACCACGTGTGTGCTGAAGATGTGGCACCATAGAGTGTCTTTGTACCAGGATGTGAGTGCATGTGAGTGTGTGGTGCCTTCGTCCATGTGCTTCTGGCTCTGCGTATCCTTGGGTGTTGGATGTGCATTTAACTTTCTAAGAATTTCCAACTGTGGTCTTCGGCTCAGATCTTTATGTAGCATTATAAATCAATATTCATACTTTTAGAATCCATAGAACTTTACTGGAACATAGATATTAACTTGGTTCCACACTTTTTAATATTTGATGAAATTCACAATCAAGTAATGAAGCAACTTCTTTGAGGGAGTAGGCACATTATTGATAGAGCTGAGCACAGAAACATACCTGGGAGTGGTGTTGGAATACCATAGTGACCGATAATAATCCTAAAAAATCCAAACCATTTACTGGAGTGTTACCTACATCATGTAGTTTGTTTTTTTTTTAACAGATGATTTGCACTTCTGATTTTTCTGCGTTAACAGCTATGTTAAGTGTTAAGGAGAAAGTGTCTAAGAATTTAAAACTATCTAAACTAACTAAGAATTTATTACAGATCTAAACAGAAGACACCGTCCCACATGGGTAAGAATGAATGATGTTGTTCTCCTCACAGGCAATATACGAACGCCTTTTTGGTTGGATTGTTACTCGCATCAATGATATTATTGAAGTCAAGAACTATGATACCACAGTCCATGGGAAAAACACCGTTATCGGTGTCTTGGATATCTATGGCTTTGAAATATTTGACAACAACAGGTAAACTGGAATAAGATGCTCAAAACTCTATAGTATTTATTTTTTAGTCTCTCTGAACCTACCTGATTCCTTTTCTTGCAGCTTTGAACAGTTCTGCATCAACTACTGCAACGAGAAACTGCAGCAGCTCTTCATTCAGCTGGTTCTGAAGCAAGAGCAGGAGGAGTACCAGCGGGAGGGCATCCCCTGGGAGCACGTGAGTGCACGCCTCTGGAAAGTAGCCTCCCGTGTTGCACGTAGCGTCAGCAGTATCAGATCTTGTGTTAGCTGTTCTGTTGCAGTTTTCTCGGCCCCACAAAACATCTGAACATCGCCTTTCCTTTTGGGAATACGTAATTACAAGTCATCTCCAGGGTTGATGGGTGGAATGTCTCTCATTTGACGGACTGCCTTGTTGGTGCCCAGAAATGCTGAGTGACAGCCCTCACACTTGCTTGCTGATGCCACCTGGGTTGTCTGGCTCGTATCTGTCTAGTAGAGTTTAGCGCCAGGCGGAGGTTACTCGGAGCGGCAACTTTTGCCTTAAGTTGACTGGGCTTTGCTTCCAAATTTAGTTTACTCTCTTGCCATCTTCTTTCTCCTCTTATTTCTCCTTTTTTTTTTTCTCTCCTCTACTTTGCAGTCTAAATGGCACTGTTATTATCTTCGGTTATTATAGTTTACATTCTCCAAAACCCAGGCGTGAAAACATTCACATTTACTTCCGTCTGCTGTCCTTCGTGTCATACCTGTTATCACCTTCTCATGGCCCTTTATGAACGCTGACAGTTGTCAGAGATCTGAGGAGGGCGGGCCAGAAAGTGGGACTGCCCTGGGGCGCGAGCCCCAGACATCACCGCTGAAAAGCACGACTTGGTTGGCTCTCTTGTTCCCTGCCATTCGGCCTCCTGCTTGTGACGGGTTGAGACCTAGTAATGTTTTCTTTTAAATTTGTGTTTTCAAACATTTTTGAGGACAGACTTGAGAAATGCAAAAACTTCTGAGTTTCCACACATTTCTGTGTTTATAAAACTGTTTATCTTCCTGCCGAATAGAACACACAATAAAGTCAGCATTTTTTTTAATATCTGACATAGTAGTAAAAAGCTTCTTTGATATACTCTATGTAAATTTTATATTTCTTCCCACCTTCCTGCTTTCTCTGTCCTCTCATTCAGAAAGGGAGACAGTGGTATAATTAGTAGTTGTCCTGACTCAAATTGCACCTTTGCCTTCCAGCATGTGTTAAACATCACAATACCATAAAAAATTTTGTTCAAGTATATTAGTGTAAATTTTACTGTTTTACAAATGAACCAAAAGGTGTATTATTACTTTGTAGTAGAATTACCTATCATTTTGATTTAAGCAATGAACTCTCGTAGTACATTTAAGATGTAATTCAGTTAACTTTAGATGCAGCCTTCTTAGAATGGATCTGTTATACAATTTAATACACAATTACAACTGAAGCTTAGTTTTTTATAGCAAATTTAATCATAAAACTTGTTATTCAGAGATACTGGTCAAAAATGTCCTTTAAAAGTCAGGATATCAAATTCCACAGGTATAGTTGATAAGGAGGAAAGTCAACAACTGCAGTAGGCTGTCCCGAACATCTGAAAAAGGAGCAACCGCCCTAAAAATGCAAAAATCTTTAGCAAAATAAACCAAGAAATATATGTCCTAGAGGGGACAAAAGGCTAGGTTGCAGGTAATTGTTACTATACCGACTACATGCCAGGTCCCTCCAAATTAGAATCTCTATTCTGGGCAATTATTTCCTTTAAAAAACTCAACTTTTGAACATAGTGATTGATTTTTTAAAATGTTTTTTATTATGGAAAATTTCAAGCAAACATAAGAACAGAGATCGTGATATGATAAACTCCGTGTACCTGTCACCAGCTATGACAGTTATCAGTGGGTTGCCAGTCTCATGTCATCTGGACCCACCGACCCACCCACCCACCTGACCCTCCAGATTATTTTGAAGCAAATCTCAGACATCATATTGTTTTACCTATAAATAGCCCTGTGTACTTCTCTAAAAGATAAAGACTTTTACAAATACCATGACCACAGTACCATTATCACACCTAAGAAATGTAACAGTAATTCCTTAATATCATCAAATATCCAGTCATGTTCACATTTCCTCAGTCGTCTTACTGGGTTTTTTTGTCTGTTTTTATAGTTGTTTGAATTTGGATCCAAGCAAGGTTCTTACATTGTGGTTGGTTGATAGGATGCTCGCCTATCTATAGATTTTCTCCTCCATCTCTTTTTTTTTCCCTCACGATCTCCCAATGAAGAGGATGAGTCATTTGTTCTGTCGAGCTTGCCACAGTCTGGATTTTGCTCATCAGATTCCCGAGGTGTCATCCAGACTCTGTTCCGTGTATGCCCCTGGTTGTTAGATCTGGAGTCTTGGCTGGTTTCAGGACCAGTGTTTTTCTACCAGTCTGTTTCATAGGTGGTATGTGGACTTCTGTCAGGAGGTTCCTAAGGCTTGGTTGTCTCCCTAATTGACTCACCTTTATAGGCTTTTGGTGCAGTAGTTTACAAGTCATTTTTTAGCTTTTGAGAACTGGACTGTTGGGCACAGAGCTGCTCCGTCTGGGGTGGGAATGGGAGGCCCAGACCTCTCTGCCTCTGAGCTATCTCATCAGATCTCGTCCTGCCCCCTGTAGCCCCTAAGAAGCCTCCTGGGAATCAGGATTGCTGGAGAAAGCTGGTTTGGAAGCCGCGACTTGAAGCAATGTTTGAAGTAACCTTAAACTTACGAACTGAACTCTTTAGCCAAGACTCATTAGTTATACAACTGGTTCTTTTTTTTTTTTTAAGATTTTATTTATTTATTTGAGAGAGAGAGAAATGAGAGACAGAGAGCATGAGAGGGAGGAAGGTCAGAGGGAGAAGCAGACTCCCCGCTGAGCAGGGAGCCCGATGCGGGACTCGATCCCAGGACTCCA